TATACTCCTGCAAGTTGTAACAGTTCTACATTGGTTTCATTCTGTCCTACATAGTCTCAACAATCTTTTTATATGAACCATGTAGTTTCTAGTTTGTTCTCTGTGTTACTGAAGATATCCCAATGTTCACAATCATACAAGAGGAATGACCAGGCGTAGGATTTCAATGCCTTTACTTTTGTTTCAAGTAAATTGATCGTGTTCTTAGTCTTTGACTCATCTTATCAAATGTGTCTTTTGCCATTGCTGTACGTTTCTTTATTTCTGTGTCACATTTCGCATCTGATGGCAACATGAACCCGATATATTTAAATTGGTATAGTTGTTTTAATTTTATATCTTTTCTAATTTGGCATTTAGGTATTTTTTCTTTGATACTACCACGTATTCAATTTTCTCGTTATATCCAGTCTCCTTTGCTCGTTTTTTGACATTGTTTTAAGGATTCTCTTTAGCCGTTACTCAGAGTCTGCAATGAGTATCGTTCTCTGAAACCTATGATTTTTTTGGTTTTTGGCAAATTAGAAAAGATATAAAATTAAAACATCTATACCAATTTAAATATCTCGGGTTCATGTTGCCATCAGATGCGAAATGTGACACAGAAATAAAGAAATGTACAGCAATAGCAAAAGACACATTTGATAAGATGAGTCAATGACTAAGAACACGATCAATTTACTTGAAACAAAAGTAAGAGCATTGATATGCACGTGAATATCCTGTGTGCGACGTCTCACACTGACCGTTTATAACTAGAGTCTTTTTTGTACATGTATTTTGTTTTGTTTTCGCCCCTGACGAGGCCTCAGGGCCGAAACGGCCGTAGGGCATTTTTTGATAAAATGGAGAGAAAAGTCTAATTTATTCGTATCCTTGATTTTCTATAGCAGTCACAGTCACAGTCACCTCAACCTGTCTATCTATTACAGGGTACCGAGAACTGTCAACCTTTGTTAACTTCACTCCATCACATTTACAGCGGCCCTTCCACAGCACGGTCTACTCTCAGCGGCCCTTCCACAGCACGGTCTACTCTCAGCGGCCCTTCCACAGCACGGGCTACTCTCAGCGGCCCTTCCACAGCAGCGGTCTACTCTCAGCGGCCCTTCCACAGCACGGTCTACTCTCAGCGGCCCTTCCACAGCACGGGCTACTCTCAGCGGCCCTTCCACAGCACAGTCTACTCCCAGCGGCCCTTCCACAGCACGGTTTACTCTCAGCGGCCCTTCCACAGGACGGTCTACTCTCAGCGGTCCTCGGCAGCACAGTCTACTCTCAGCGGCCCTTCCACAGCACAGTCTACTCTCAGCGGCCGTTCCACAGCATGGGCTACTCTCAGCATTAACGGCATTAACTCCAATATTATAGCTTATGTGGAAATACAGAAAATGTACAGAGCTGCAGGTGGATGGGAGTTAAGTCACATTTGAAATACCAGAGTTTGAAAAAAAATTTAAAAAAAAAATATATATATATATATATATATATGTAACTGCAACACGTGGAGCAGTGATTAGTGCGAGTAGTCAGTGAGATGTGTTCGTGTCACGTGACACTCGGGTATATAGTTGAGATCCCGCCCTTACATTTTCAGTTTCAGCAACACGGGTCTCCGGGATCATATAGTTTTATGTTTTCATAAGTTTTCATAAGTTTTCATNTAGTGCTTGTCAATTCAATTTGATTTAAAACGCCACTAATATAATGTATGTTTAAGTAATATTAATGTAAAAAAAATAGTTATTTTTTGGGGAGCCATGTAACTGCAACACGTGGAGCAGTGATTAGTGCGAGTAGTCAGTGAGATGTGTTCGTGTCACGTGACACTCGGGTATATAGTTGAGATCCCGCCCTTACATTTTCAGTTTCAGCAACACGGGTCTCCGGGATCATATAGTTTTATGTTTTCATAAGTTTTCATTAGTTTTCATCAGTTTTCATCAGTTTATTCAGCGAAATACAATCTATTCAAACCAAGAACGCTTTTTGAGTTTTTAACGGTACGGTCACGGCAACAATATATATATATATATATATTTCAATAAAGCTGCTCCTCAAACTTTTAATCCAGATGCACTAACATGATATGAAAAATGCCATTAAGTTTGAGGATAATAAAGCATTATTATTCATCTGTAGCATAAATGTTGGCATTACACAATGGATCAACATTTACCTGCATAATTATCACTGATTATTAATTATGTGACACAAATAATTTAGACTTTCACAAACTGTATCTGGCAGAGAACTAAATTGATGGGAGTTCACAGGGAAATCTCGACATGTGTGTTTTACGTAATCTCATTTAATGGCCACATGAAACTTAATTAGGCAAGTGACTTAATGGCTCTGAACATATCTAGTGATTACCCAAGGGACAATTACAGACTGACCATCTGCTGACCACCCAATGTTGCAATAAAGCACCAAATTTTATGTTTAAAAATTCATACAGAACTGCATTGTGACCAAACAGAAAGCAATCACACTGATTTTCTAACACAAGCTGCAGTGTTGCATATGCGCATATTTATTATTTATCATAAATATTTAAAAATATTTTAAGAGGGGAAAATATAAAAGAGAACGAGAAAGACAGCAAAGTTAACCGTAGGCCTACAGGTGGCTGCACAACGCTGTTACCTTCCTTGTATTCACCCCTTTCAATCAATTATATAAATTTCGGGCAATGTTTTTATTCCCAATGATTTACTTTTACTTTTTAACGATCTGTTTTCGAACTTATGGCATCTTGCTATACACAAGCTTGTGGATTATGGCACATCCTTGAAAATGTAAGTGAGCATTTTGTCTTCTCTGCTGTTTTTAAGCCATCAATTCCACGAAAATATTAATTTTGCATGATAACTTCTCCTCCGTGTGCTTTCCGCAATTCAATTTCTCTCTCGAACTGCATTATCAGCAGTGAGAGACAATTTTAAAGGATTAAATGTGGAAGTACATGATGAAGATGAGAGTAGTCATGTCAACATGTCGGTACTCAATACAGGATCTATATATGAAAAAAAAACTAAAATATTCCTACCTACCTTGCTATTCGAATTCACTAAAAGTAAAGAACATTGAAAACGCCTCCAGGGTCTTCAAAAAGTAATATGTCGCCCTCAACCTTAAGACTCTGACTTCCTACGCTGTGCCGATATTACTGATATATAAACACAGTGATGAGACTACCATTGTGAAAAATGTCACGACTACATTGCGCGTGCGTTAAGGAACTGGGTTAAGCAGTCGGCTTTATGTGCTTTGAAGAGTGTAAATCCCTACAGAATATTACTTGAGGAGGGTTTTTTAAATTTAAATTATTAAAATAGGTGCATCGATATAGTTTTCTTAACTGCATGTTTCATATTATTTATTGACAATTATCCTTGAAATAATGGAATTCAAAATAAGTCGAAGTTACAGAATGCTTGGGATTTGAAATATTCCTCATATGCAATACTTGCAATTTTAGGCTTATGCCTATGCCATTTTTAATGGTCTCGTACTGATTACGACTACGTCTCGGCCAATCGAGGAAGGGTATATACAACATTGGTCAAACAGGTTGTTCCACCCCCAGCTTCATGTGATTTTATTTATAAATGATCACATCACAGGAGTTAATTACTACGAATTAATCCCAGATACCATAACTAACATGATAAGTGGTACAGAAAATACAAACTAGCGGTTAAGATATCCATATTTAATTCCATTTATTCACATTTATTACATGTACCCCCTCAAATCCGATGTTCCACTGTCATTTCCACGGAGGTAAAGAAATACCCGTTAAATTGAAATGACACCACCAAATGTCACCAATGTACACCAAATTCACTATTTATAACAATCTTCACCTGTGATGTGATCATTTATAAATAAATGCACATAATACTGAAGGTGGGACAACCTTTTTGACCACTGTTGCATAGACTTCAATTTTAAACAACGTTTTCCGTGCTAGTTGTTAATCATTGTACGATTTCTACAGTTTGTGTCTAATTTCGTTCATTTTCCATTTAAATGCATTCAAACAAATCAGATCGGACGTTTTAATTTGTTTTATTTGAGACTTACTTGCAATTGTGAGGATAATTCACCGTCTAGCCTAGTGATCTAACCTAAATTGACCTTCTTTAACCTCCTTGTTTTTTCATTTAAAAAATATTTGAATATCTGTGCAATCTTTCATAAAGTACAACATGAAAGCAACCTAATAAAATGGCATTTACATTTAGCAGTGCACCGGTCACAGCTTATAATAGTTTTGCGATATATATAACAGTTCAATAAAGATTAAATACCTCTGTGTACCAATCTTTAAAAAACACTACCGCCCCTATGTTTGGATTACGTACTGCCTTCATTGCAACGTGTGTCAAAAGGATACCACTTCTTCTAGTATTACTTTTACTACATGTACTAAAACTTGAACTAGTACAACAACTACTGACAATAATGATCACCAGGGAAATAATTATATAAAATGTTTTTGTTATTTTTAATACACGCACTTATAGGTAATAGTAACATATATACTTTTCTAATTACTTTTCTAATTTAATGGTTATCGGTACTACACACTGTTTTCTTGACAGCTTTCATTCTCATTGCATTGTCATCTGTTTATAATAATGAAAATAAACAGATGACAATGCAATGAGAATGAAAGAAAGAAACGCTGGAGAGGCTTTACAATAGTAGGGACCTAATAAGAGGAAAACAAAAGTTATTACACGGAAACCGATGCCCAAGTTCGGGGATTTTAATCACTGCACCTTTGTCATGTGTGTGTGTGTGTGTGTGTGAGAGAGAGAGAGAGAGAGAATGAATGAATATGAAAATATCAACTAATTGTTAGGCATAAGAAATCCTTAGTTATTTTGCATTCAGGTGTCTTGTGATAACGTACGCCGCTTAATACATTCATGGTACTAAATATTTCACAACGCACTCAGTATTCTCTACAGCTGCTTCCTCGCCTTTCATGGCGAAGATAACTCCACGAAAGGGGACAGAAAGCGCTCCACTGGATACTGTTGGTTGTCTATCCCATATTTCCTGCAAACAGCCAACAGCTTTTTCTTCGCCTCATTTACAGATTTCCCCTTTACAGCTACCTGGCATAATAGGTTCTCAAATGGCTCATTTTCTTTCAACTCGGACTCCATTGGAAAGAAAATTATTTCCCCTTTTTCATGAGCCTCGGCAAGGATCTCCAGTGTAGCAATGCCCGGTCGCGATAGTGCCTTGGCGTGGGCTGTTGTGGTACACATGACCCCTATGAGCTGGCACCTTGGCTCCAATGGTCGGACGCTGGGTTGTATCCCACACGCAATTAAGAAATTTAGGAAAAGGATATCTGTTTCGAAGACGGTGCGCACCCAGTTCCGGTAATGGGCGCCGGTTACTCGTCCGTTGATCTCGATCAGTTTCGGTCCCGTCGGCGCCATTTTAAACTCTACACTATACACTCCCTCAGTGAGACCAACCGCGTCAACACACTGCTTTGTGGCCATTACCATCTGTCGCTGCTTGTCAAGGGGTAAACTTGACGGCATACATGATGAAGTCTCAAAAAAGAGAGGAAAGCGGGTAGGTCCACAATCAGAGATGAATGCCGCTAAAATCTTTCCTCGAAACATGACGACCTCGACTCCATGTTTGGTTCCTAGTGCATACTCTGCTAGGTGCATTTCGTTGCCGTAACCAATACCAAACGCTTTTTCATCTGTGTTCTGTAATGTTTTCTGAATGCTGTTGAAGTATTTCAGACATTCTTCCTCGTCTTTGACCAGATGGACACCGAAGGAATATGCCCCGTATTCCGGCTTCAGAATGGCGGGATACCTTATGAGACTTGACGATCCCTTCACATCTTCAGGTCGGACAATTTCGCGTATCTTGACTGCATATAGATGCGGTTTTGGCAAGAAAGAGCTGTAGGTTGACGATGCCAATAAAGCATTTTGGCTCAAACTTTTCTTCTTAGCCTTTCTTGAAGCCTCGGGGGTATTTCCAAGCATGCGCAGTGCTTCGCACACCAGAGCCGTCAGAGGAACGTAATTCTCGTCCACAGTCATGCATCCGTCTACGTCTAGGCCTTGTGTGCGCAGTAGATGGACAATTTTCTCGGTATTTTCATCATCGTGGCTGTGGTCTTCTATATCACATTGGATAAACTTGTATACCCTTTTCACCGCACTGTGATTAGGATCTGGGTCAATCAAAATGATCTGAAATGGGTTAAAAACACGCACATGTATTAAGGAGCATTCATTAACAAGACTTCATTTTAAGAAAGCTATGACCATTACCTTGATACCAATTCTGATACTTCTCTAATAGAAGTTCTTATAAAAATAAATTTCATATATACTTTAAACGGTAAGTTTACGACATGATATATATTTAAAGTAAATTAAATAAGCAAAACGTATAACATTTTTTTCAAATCACGGACCCTCTAAATATAAGTGTTAAATTTGTATTTCTACTGCTGAAAAAATTTACCTTAACATTGTACTCCTCGGCAGCTCTCCAAACGAACTCTTTGCGTATCCCTTCTCCTCCTCCAATAAGGAGGATTTTCTTTCCTCGAAGAAGAAATCGCTGACTACGGTTGACCATGGTTGCCACCAGGGGCCGCACGCTGCTTCCAAGCTCGGCAGGGTTCTGCAATTCCCACATCTGTGTGTTTGCAATGATTTTCCTGCTGTTATTGACACTGACAGCAACGGCCTCATAACTGCCGGCTTCTTGCTGAGTCAAGACAAAATTGACTCCTGAAAAATATAAAAAATCTATCTAGAAAAATGTAACTTTTTATCATGCAATAAAGCCAGAGCAAGCGAATCTAGTTATCACCATTTCTGAGTCGTCTTTGTACTGCGCAAGCCTGTTACCTCACACTACTTAAAAGAAGTTAGGAAATGTTTAGAACAGCTGATGTTAAAAGAAAGAAGGTTTACTGTTCAATAACTTTAAGCGTAAAAATTGCAAATTATAAATTATAATTGTTTGCCACAATATTTAAAAAATCATGCATTCTGTTTGAAGCCATGTAATTTTATCTTTATTTTTACTTTATTCACCCGCCAAAATAATAATTATAACACTAATGTTTTCTTTTAACGAGCAAAAATTATTTGTATTGCAACACAATTAAGTACAGAAATGACATCCAATACAGAATGACGAATTTGACTTAGACTTGCTAAAATTTAATAACAGTGGTCATATTTCAAACTTTTGCGCCTTATATAGCGGGTGTCCCTTACGCCTTTTTTATTAGTATATTATTCGCATTCAATATAAAATGTTAACTTTAGAGATATACACAATATTGTTTTAAATCTTAAATTATTCCATGATTTACCTATAATGCCTGTTCTTGCTAATAATCCTCCGCGTTCTTTGTTGAGACACTCCTCTTGCTTCATCCAATTTCCCAATATATCCTCCGCTTTTTCCTTGATCATTGAACGTATCTGCAAATCATGATATGAATTAGATGGGCTTTTACAGATTTTGTGGCATAAATGTGTTGCCATCACCTCTTTGCTTCTGCAGGGATATCAGCACTTTAATTAAGTTACTTCAACGACTCACCTTGTCAATTTCGGATCTCTTCTGTATCCCCCACTGGATAAGAAAGCTTTCCAGAGACAGTGGTAAAGTATTGTCGCAATGGAGCGTTCTGTCCGCCTGACCAATGCCACAGGCGATGTCTGAAACCAGCTGATTCCCATCAGGAGTGCCGCAGACGACAGCTCGTATTGTGCAGGATAAGTCCTTGCTCTTGATGCTGACTAAAAATAAATGATTTGCACTAACAGTAGAAAAAATAATAATGCTGATTAAGCTGTTGTGTGATCTCGTTATGAGTAAAAGCATGTGACTTATATTTTAGATAAACATGAAATTGAAAAGCGCAACCATAATATTAACTGATTATGGATAGTTTTAGAAATGGACAGATTTAAAAATGCTAGTATTTTGCCGTTTCCTATAGCGAAACGTACCTGCCTGTTCCTCGTAGTCAAGATGAGGAACTGGTAATGGTTTAAGGGTCTCACAAAATGCCTCCACAACTATGCTCTCCCCCTCTTCCAGAACATCCAGACCTTGACATACGGCACTGTAGACGTCAGCTTGGTCATTGACAGAAATGTAGGACACTCTTCGTGAAGCACTCGCGCCTGCCTTGACAACTACCTAAACAATAAGAAGTTATTTTGTGAGGATTGTATGGATGAACACCCGACATGCGCATGCACAAAAAGCATATAACATTTTGAGATCTTGGCACGATCAAGTGGGAAGAGTGGGTGACTGAATGTTAATTTAATGATCGTCGATAATTGAGTTTCGAGGAAATACATCTTATTCGCCCGCCTTATATATATATATCCACTAATAACATATCCACATGCTTGTGCGTTTTTTTCTCCTCTCACAGATAAAGAAAAATATCCTATTATTTAAAAGAATGCAAATATGGTAAAAACAATTCACTTAATATTCTCTTTTATTGTTTTTGAGAGAGAGAGAGAGAGAGAGAGAGGAGACTCGCTTATTATTAACATTTACCTTTTTCATCCCTTTTCCAAGCAAAGAACTTATTAATACAGGCAGTTCCTTTTTGATCTTTTCTTTTCCGTCTTCTCTATTTTCAATAGCGACCACATAAATATTGCGTCTCTCCTGGTTGTAAGGCGTTCGTGATCTGTACAAAAATGCCAGCGTATCGGGATAGGCAACACCAGCGTCCGCAACCAGAACACGAGTGAGAATTCGATCATCCAAACACTTCATCAAATCTTGCGTGACTCCCAGTGGGCATTCTAAATCTTTTTCATAATCCACGTTGTAACTGCGCATGCAAACATTTGTTTTCTCATCATCTGCAATAGGATATGTATTTCAAATTTTTTGCAAAAAAATTCTAATCCAGTGAATGAATTTTCGGGTTTAGAAATGCAAAAAATTATATAATTTATCATATAAAATTGCATAAATAAATAGAAAGAAATACAACTGAATAGAAAGATACTTGAAACAATTAATTGATAAGATAATAAGCGTGTGGTTTGAAAAAATTAATAAGACATTGCTATAGGCTTTAAAATATATACGAAATATGAATAGTCAAACAGAACGACGAATGAATACAGATTAATACACGATGACAGCTATTGTCACATGATGTAATATTTAACTTCTGGATATTATACCTGTAGCAAGGTTCATGAAGTAAGTGACACGACGAGGTGGAGTGAAGATGTCCAAAAATGTTCGACCACAAGAGTCAAATGTGACAGCCTTGTGTACTCGTAAGGTTTGCAGTTCTCCTTCATTGGTGGGTTCTTTCTGAAGCCATGTTAAAGAGGGTACCAGTAACATACCATCAGGACACTGCTTCCCACCCTCTAAACACAGGTTCAGACAGGTGAGAGGTTCCCCCAGTACCACCATCGTGATCTCTTCAACCGTTGACTTTGGTCGTGGGTTCTGTAAAAAAAATGCACACGTTTTAGAGCAGCGTCATCCACAATTTTAAAATATAGGTTTCATCATACATGCCTAATCCCCAATAAATATTTCGCATCATTTACAAAGAATAGCAAATGAGCTGTCCCCATATTCAAGACTTTGTTTATTTTACATACGATACGGACGGTGACATACCGCAGGAACACACAACAAAATATACTCTGTACATATCTCTTCGTGAATAGATATCGAACAGCAAATTAATTGTTCATCCTTTTATGACTGAAAGAAATAAACTACAAGGTATCCCCCCGGGCAAATCCAGGATCTCCGCGGGGCACCCAACGCACTGTCATGGAAGAGTGTGATATTGGGATTGAAATGCGAAATTTCAGGTATTTGCTACACATGAAAAATTACATCCGTGTGCTGCAGTGTCGCTTTTGGATGTGAGTTGACGAAGAGGACCGACTTTTGATAAGGTGTCGTGATGACATGGATCTCTGGATTTACCTTTGATGTTTGAAAAATTTCGTCTTACCTGCGTTCTCTCTACAGTTTCCGGCAAGTTGTAAAAACTCAGTCCTTGCTGCAAATCCTGCCAAAATAGACTTGTGTTGGTTTCTTTGATTGCGCACGCATCCATTTGTACCTTTTAATAGCATAAATATTCGTATCAATTTTCAGTACATATTTCTATCGCACTATTTCTTAGATATCATATTATTATAGTTAGAAAGGAGGTTTTCAAGCCCCGAACTCTACGGCACGGTACACTTTTAAATGCAATTTTTTGGTCTTAGTATAAGTTGTTATTTTAAGCAACCAATGCAATTTTTTAGTCTTAAAAAGCTGGTATTTTTAGCCACCGACTGGGTCTAATTTACAGTTCTTGCTATTATTAGCAAGAGCTGTAATCAGGAGCTGTTTTTAACTATTTACTTGGATTAGGAAGAAGTAGCTTCCCGTTTTATTTTATTTTAAAATAAAAAAATTATAGATCAAACTGTTTTATAACCACAACTTAGTGCATCTGCGCCCAATGACCAATGGGCTGTTGATGTAAACACAAAATGCATACCCCTGTAGGTTATAGTGTATGTGTGAATGGGGAGTGTGCGTAAGAATAACAACAACGTCTTAATAAAAGAGAACTAACAATGACCGTCCCGTAGACTTTGACAGCACTGCATGCTAAAACGTTTTACATAAGAACATGTGAATGTTAATTCGTCATTTGCGGGTAGACAGAGAACAATTATACCATGCTTATAGCTCAAAAGCTTTTAATTTTCCTTTTTTTTCAGAGATGATGAACAGAGAACAGCTCTAACGTACCTTTGTGTTCATGAGACTTGCTGGAGAATGCCGTATACCTCGTCCTAATAGTGACTGCGCAAGACGCTCATACATGGAATAGAATAATACAAANAGTGCTCAACCCAGAAACGGTCATGGTCCCTAATTCATTAGAGAAACATACAACGATGTTTTGCTGTTTACAGTGGGTTCCTCGGAGGTCGTCTGGTATTCTAACCTGCTAAAACCAGTTTGGTGTTCGCTAAGGGCCTTGAAAAATGCGTTTTGGTGGCTATTTACCCCTCATTCTGAACGGACTGGGTGGTTTTTGTTTAGTTGCTATAGCATATCCTGAAAGACAGTGGGTCCTGTACTCTGGTGGTAAGATTTTAATACATTGGGTGTTGCCTCTATGTAGGTACATCAGTCTGGGCATTACTCTATAAAACTGTGCGGACCGTTTCGTTTGGCGCAATTAACTGTCTGGCAATGTCTGTCTTTTTCGCGCCATTTTGCCACAGATTAACAAACTTGCAAAGCACTGCATAGCTCATTTTACACACTGCAAAACCGAACACTTGCATGCAAAATTTCAAATTCTTCTATGCAGTAGTTGCCGACATATGGATACTTTTTTGACAGAACCGTGCTTTGCCAAAGCCAAGCTTTGACCTGCCAAAAGGAGCACTACCCAATTAAATTACTTCATATTACATAATGCAGCAGCGTAACAAACCTGGTATTCAGTTAATTGGAAGCGACACACCTGACTACACACTTCTCCAGTCACATATCTTATATGAGATCTTAGTTTTTTGAAAAAAGAACGCATTTCTACCTAGGCACACCTTCGAAACTGAAATATTCCATATTAAATGTCAAGTCTGTAGTAGTAT